AATAATAATTAAATTCTTGTATAGCTATAATAAAAGATAATTATTCCTTTGAAATAATAAAAAATAATTTTTGTAGAAGTTTATTTATTATAAATTATCAATATTTTAGATTAATAAATATTATTTTTCATTTATAATTAAAGTTAATATATAATATATAATAGTTAATATATAATATATAAAAGTTAATATATAATAAAATAATTAATAAAGTAATTAAAATATAATAATAATAAAAAATAGTAATAATAATATAGAATATTTTGTACAAATACATTTCTTATAAAAAATACATATATAAAACTATAAAAAATATTTAAGTATGTTTTCAAATTTTTATATTTATTTTTTTTTTTTGTTAATTATTTTGTATTTTTCCATAATCAGTTATTTTTTCTATTGTCAAGAAAATTCCATCTTTAGGGGCCAATGTAAATGAATTTAACTTCTTTATATAAGGAATCATTGTCTTTTCGCAAACATCTACTTTGAAATTTTGTAGCATTCTTATCAGTCCAACTTTTGTTTGATAAACGGCAAATCGTATTCCTGAAACGATAATTTAATCATCGATTATCATTAATATATAAAAATATAAAACAAATAAATGTTAAAAATTTTAATAATCGTAAGATACAAATTATTATTAATAATTAATTATTATAATTATTATACAAAAAACATTTTAGTATTTTTCTTTAAATTACCAATGCAATTCCTTGGTCCATTACCAAATGGTAAATAGGTCATTGGATGCCTTGCAGCTTCTACATCCTCGTCAAATCTTTCAGGATCAAATGTATCTGGATTTTCATAGAATTTTGGATCTGTTTGAATTGAATATACAGGAATAATTACAGAAGTTCCAGCAGGTATTGATACTTTTGTACCATTGAAGGTATAATTAGAGTTGCATTTTCGTTTTAAAAACACTCCTGGTGGATATTTTCTAAGTGTTTCTGTTAAAAAGACAGATAAATATAATTTTATTTTAGTAATAATTCTATCTTAGTTAAAATAATCTAACTTTAAATTATAATTATTAATCTTTACACATGTTTCAATATGATAATTTATACGTAATAATAAATTGTTGTTTTCCATTTTGCAAAAATATATATAAAATAGAATATTAATAATAATTTATAAAACAATTTTATATACCTTTTGTTGAAATAAGTTTAAAAAATATACCTTTAAATACTTTGTCCAAATATTTCATTTTCTTAACTTCTTCGTATGTAACATTCCCATTATTTTTGGCATGGAATTCTTTTATTTCTTTTCGTAATTTATCTTGTACGTTAGGATTCAGAGCCATTTCATAAAGAGCGTGTGCCATTGTCGTTGATGACGTTTCAAATCCAGCCGCGAAGAAAACAAAAGCTTGCGCGGCAAGTAAACTATCCGTTATTTCTAAAATTTCATTAAAAAATAATATTTTAATAATATTTTACGTTACTATTCTACTCATTATTTATAAAACATCATCAAACAAAAGATTTATAAACTTAAAATTTTATTTCAAATTTTATTTCATTATTCTACATCTTCAAATTCTATTTATGAAATGATCATAGACTTTATTTGTTTTTTGAAAGAATTAAAATCAATAATTATTTTACTTACTAATATTCTTCAATTTTTCCGGATGTTTTTTCAATTCCATTAATAAGTTTACAAAATCTGCTTTTACCACATTATTTTCTTCCCTATATTTGATCATTTCTGAAATAAATTTTGTCACAAATATGCTTGTTTCTGAATATGGTATTACAAAACCAAGTAAATTATAGAATCGTGGAAAAAATTGTCGAAGAAAAGATCTTAATATGTTTTTATCTAGATCAAAAATTCTTTTTCCTATTCTGCGAAATTCACTACGTTCGTTTGACAATGCGTTCATGTTGATTCCAAAAGCGCAACATCCAATAACATCTGTAGTGTATCTCGCTGATATTTCAAAACAATCCATAGGCCCTTTTTCTTTCACAACATCTTCTAAACATTGTTCCAAGCGTTTGGCGCATTCTAATATCAAGGGAAACATTTCCTTCAGTTTACCAGAAGTAAATACCGGTGACAATCTTATTCTTAATGGTCGCCATCTTGCAGCATCCATATTAAAAAGATTTGCATTCAATGGATCAGCCTGTAATTAAAAAATTAAATCGAAATAATTTATTTTAAGAAGATATTTTTAAAAAATTGATAAAACTTTAATTTTGAACTTTTTATATTTTG